TTTCCACCTCTCTAGGGCCTTCCTGACACCAGCACTCACAAAATGTAGTTAAACAGACTTAGAGGTATCTTAAAGCTTTTCTCTCAGCAGGGGTGGGGTTATATGCATGTGAGCACCATCCTGCCTGTGGTAGCCAAAAGGGTGTTGAATCCCCTAGAGCCTGAGTTACCTAGGCCGTTGCTATCCACCAGTGTGGGTGCTGGGAACCCACTTGAGGCCTTCTGCAAGAACAGAATGTGCTCCGTGCCGAGGAGCTGTCTCTTCAGCCTGACATGCTGACCTGGGAGGTAATAGATACACAATTTGCCAATCTAACCGTTTTCAGTCAACTGTTGGGTGGCATCAATTAGCCTTCTCTACTTCCATGCTCCCCGCTAATGTCACTTGGCAGCAGGGTGAAAGGTCGGCTTGTCAGGAGGTGGATGGACCTCTTCACTGTCTGGAGCTAGTGCGATGTCTGTGTTGTGTCCTTGCCCTCACTACACACAGCAAGGATTAATGCTCACAGGAACTCCAGGAATTCAACAAGAGTGGCTTCTGGGCCTTCCCACTAGGTGGCAGCATAGAGCCGCTCCAGAGGTCTCTGCTGATCTGGATTTTCCAGGGAAAAAGTCCAGAATCCCAGTGACTTAGATGACTTCTCATAGTTAAGGTGGTCGGACGTTCAGGATCCTAGCCTGCAGCGAGAGCCAGGCCCTCTTCCCTGGAGGGATGCTCTGTGCCTTTCTAGCTCTGGCTGGCCACCCCTGACTGTGGATGCCCACTCTACCCTCTGCTTCTGGTGTTGAATGGTGTCCCTGAATCACTTCCTTAGAACACCACTCATCGTGTGACCGACCACCTAGCTCCCTAATGTCACATTCAAGGGTGACTGTAGTAAGCACTTACACCTGTGCGAGGTCAGGAATTCATCGTACAGCCTGATGACCTGGCAACGTACAACAAAGGATGTCTGATGTGGGAAACCCAGGCTTGGTGCTTGGGACTCTGGACCTGGCTCTTGTGATGCAGCAAATGCTATGGACCTGGTGTTTCCAACTCCCTGCTCGTCTTTGATATGTGTTTCACCCCACCCCCACTTACCTTTCAGAACCAGCTCTCTGGGAACTTGCTGAGAAAGTTCAAGAACAGCAATGGCTGGCAGAAGCTGTGGGTGGTGTTCACCAACTTCTGCCTGTTCTTCTACAAGTCACACCAGGTAAGTGTCCCACACGGGGCAGCTGGCCCCAACCTGAAGTACGCCTGCTCTCAAGCACAGGGGAATGCCTCCCTGAGGCTGAGCCTATGGCACCTGACAGGCAGAGAGAGTCCGGTGCTGGGAACTGCAGGGTTCCAGGACCTGTCACGTCCATCAGAGATTTTCAGCTCTAAATGAACACTGACATCCAGTTGCTCAAAGATGAGCTGCCTTACTAGCTCTGCTCTATAAGAGAAGGGGGTGACTCGATACTGTCTTGTGGGGAGGGGGGCGAAAATGAGCCAGATGCTTGCCTTGTTCTAACAGACTGGCCCTTAAGGGAGGAAACAAAAAGCAGGTCTTCTCCTGGAGGGACCACAGCACACTGGCCAACAGCAACCCTACCCAACACCACTGACCATGTCATCAAAGCCCCCTCTGTTCCCTGTTGCAGGACAGTCACCCCCTCGCCAGCCTGCCTCTGCTGGGCTACTCACTCACCATCCCCTCAGAATCTGAGAACATCCACAAGGACTATGTGTTCAAGCTGCATTTCAAATCCCACGTGTACTACTTCAGGGCTGAAAGCGAATACACATTTGAAAGGTAGGTGCACCCTAACCCTGTTTGCACAGCCCACCTGCAGGACCATGGTCCCCATCCTGACATCAGGGTTCACCTCTCCCGAGTAGTTTTTGAGCATTCTGTAGGTCTGCTTCATACTCCCAGCCCCACAGCGTGGTGTCACAGAGATGTTTAGCTCCTGCCATGTAAGGTCAGCACACGCCAACATGCTTGGTCCTCTGCCATGTGCACATTATACCAGGAAGCTGCGGCAGATACTTAAGGGGGAGGCAGGGCACAGGTGGCCGTAATGGAACCAAAGGATGATTCTAGCTAACGACCACATGAAGAAAGCAAGTTGAGTGTTGGAGTGGTTGAAGACCAGGTTAGGAGGGAAACGGGCTTCTAGGTTTTCAGGTGTGAACTCTGATGTAAAGCTGTTCATGAAATTTACATTCCAAGGGGAAACTGGGCTTTTGGGGAGTGCATTCCATAGCACCACAAGACAACCAAGGTCACTGGACTGTAGTACCAATCAGAGGCCTCAACATGCCAGTCCCCCCCTACCCCCCACTAGGGAGCAAGTTCTCTTCTGGCCTTGCTACTTGTCTGGATGACTGGCTTGTTCCCTCACTGGCCCAAGGCATTTCTAGATCAACAGGCCAACTAAAAACAATCCCTAGCAAATGTCCATGAAACCAGCCAGCAACCCCTGAGCCAAACTGCTTGCAAATGCGTCCAAAAGATGGCAAGTCTCAGCCCAGATCATCAGTTCTCAACCTGTGGATCTTGACCCCTGCACAGGGGGTTGCCTAGGACTTGTCAGAAAACTCAGATATTTACAGTGTGACTCATAACAGTACTAAAATTACAGTTATGAAGTAGCAACAAAAATAATAGGAAAGTTGAGAACCGCTGGTCAAGATCTTCAAAGATCTAGAAAGATCCTTCCAAGGCTTACAGCCTTGCCAATCCCAAGAGTAGGTGGTCTTCTTTACCCACACTCAAGACATGTTGGACCAGGTAACTTAGGACAGATTATTCCTAATGTCCCTGGACCCTGGGAGCTGGTACTAGTAACACCCTCAACTGCAGACTCAGCGCGCCCCAGATCCAATGCTACCCTGGTTTCATGCAAATGTACAAGAAGATGGGCTCATCGAGTGGGAATGCAGCCCTTACAATGTCTTTGGAACTGCCTGCCATTATGTGAATTGTGCTAACAGTTCCCAGACATTGTTCCCCTAAAACCATTACAGGGCTCTGCTCGAACAACAGGGCATCTCTGACGAGCTCCGGTCTTCCACTTGTTGTCTTTGGAAGTAATGACCAACAGTGTTTAATTTGTTACAAAGTCACCCAGTGCTCATGTCCCTTCCTCCCGTCATTTTAGATGGATGGAAGTAATCCGAAGTGCCACCAGCTCAGCCTCTAGGGCCCACATCTTGAGTCACAAGGAATCTCACCTGTACTGACGGCTGGGCGTGCCCGCTGGCTGCATCCCTGGAGGATATACTGAAGCCTAGCGAAATCCACATCTGTGTGAACACAGTGATGATCTGCCGTGGTTCTCGCCCACCCCCCTGCACAGGCCTATCTCCAACATTGTCTTTTCCAGTATCTTTTTGGACAGCCTTTCCCTCCAGGCCTAGGGGGTGGGAGGGGTTGTCTTGCCATTCTCCAGGGACGCTTCAACTTGTGCCAGTATTGACACATTGTCATCAAGAGTGCCAAATGACAGTCTTTGCCCTGCAGCATAGCCAGTCCAGGGCCACACGTCCGTTCACCGTGTCAGGGAAGACGAATCAAGCGAGCTTTCCACCTGCAGACTGCTGTTTTCCAAACGGATTTTTTTCCAGCATCCACAACACATGGCACGGTCTTAAGCAAATGAGATCATTTTGGATTTCATTTTTTTTTCTCCAATCTTTCTACTTTTATAATAGGACATTGGTAGGACTCACTTTTCTCGAATAAGCAATTTGTGGAGTACTCCATTCCACTAAAGGGATCGGCTCCAGTGAGACCCTGGACGTCACACCCATTTTCTTGGTGGAAGCTGACCAAACTTTGTGATTCCTATTTACAAGATGTAGTGGGGTTGTTTTCTGTGGAGAAGCAGATAACCAGTGCAATACGTGGGCGCCGCTGCCCTGTGCGTGGTGTGTACAGTGGGGGGCTCCTAGGCCGTGATGTTTTGCTGTCTGTTTCACAAGCATGAGAAGCTGTATGTCGTTGACTGGGGCCATTTGTGCTGTTACATTATGGGGCATTGAGTGAGCTTCTTGGAAGAAGCACTGTATGGTAATGGTACGTAGTCCCAGCCCTGGTGATTGGCCCCAGTTCCCTGCAAGGCCGTGGTTTGGTTTGAATCTGCACATTCTCTAGTAGTATCTATTGTGCCTGTCTCCAAGTCTTTCTCTTTTTTATACTCATTCCTTCTGGGCATGGGGTACAGACAGGATGACAGCCCACATCCTGGACAGACTCCCCTGGGGGACCTGGCTGCCAAACACTACCTGAGCCTCCCAGTGGAAAAATGTTTGCCTATTCTCTAGGGCGGCTGGGTGGCTGCCATTCCCGTCACGGATAGAGCCCTCTATCTATAATGCAAGCTGGCCAAGTCAACAGTCCACTCTCCCTGTGCCCTCCACCCCAGCAAGGGCCTTCTTACCTGAACAATGTTGAGGGGTTATGGCTGGTGACTCACATGGATAAAGGAATAAGATGTGTCAATCATTTGCCTTACAATGTACCAGATGGTTCTAAGTACCAACAAAAGGGAATAAAAATACCTCACGCCACGATCCAGCACACAAAAGTCTGAGGCAAAACCACCACCTGTGTCTTCTCTTTGTGTGGGGCAGAAGGGTGGTACTGGGTGGATGGGAAGGGGCACAACCTCTGAGGAAATGCAACGTTGTAGCACACTGACGAGTAGAGGCTTGGGCAGAAGGCACACCCGAGTGAGAAGGGCAGACAGCTCTTGAACCTCCCCAGACACTGCCACTAATCATCTAGGGGGATCCCATCACCATGCACCCAACAGTGTTGGGAACAGGATCCCTCTGAGTTACCAAATCCTCACAGGGCTAGAGGCGAGATGACTTCTTTCTTCAGCAGTGTAAGTACAAATTCTTCCCCACGTGACTGGCACTTGGGACTCCAGTACAGCTGCAGAGAGAGATTAACCATGTGCACAGCAGAACTGCTGGAAGAGACAGAGTCTGATAGACGCCACGACACAAGACACAGTAACAACTTTCCAGAGCTTTATTGACCAAGCACGACAGTAGGCGTGCTCAGGAATCTACCTTCATTGCCATATTTTGTAGCAGAAACACAGAAGCCAGGTTTTTAAAGAAATATAATGCATATACGATTACAGGTTTCCCCAAAGAACAGTATAAAACACCACATACAGAATCAGGAACCGTGTCGAGCAGCTCAAGAAGAAACCCCAGCTGCTAGGAAGGACCCTACTGTCTCTCATTCTGCACAGGTGGTTCCACATCACAGGGTGTTACCTACTGGGACAGCAATGGGGGTTGGGGGGAGAGCCATCATTGAGCCAACGCATGGCACGCCTGCAATCTCAGCACTCATGAGGGCCAACATGGACTACCCCAAAGGACAACCTGTGTGAGCCAGAGCACTCGGCCTACCTCACTGCTCTTCAAGGTGCTCATTTTCCCAGACTGGTGGCATGGTTGTGTGAGCTGTGGATAGCACGCTGTGGAAGGACTCCTGGGTGATGCTGAGCTCACCCACTGTAGCCTGTAATGTGAAACGGGTACCAGTGTTGTTCTGAGATAAGGCCCTGCTCTGAATAAAGGACTAGAATTGAACACACAGCTTGCCGAGCTAAACAAAACATCCATAGAACACAGACTATGTAACAAGGCAATTTAAAACTGTCAACCCCACATCCACAGCAAGGTTTCCAATAAACTCCCGAAGAACCATCTGTTGCTTTCACAGGAGATGGGAACCATGCCTTGTGGTCTACTATGTGCAGAGGACCAGCCTACACTCACCTCGATAAGCTTATGCTTAATTAGTTAGCTTCTAAGCCCTCTGAGCAGCTCAGCCACAGTTGTCACACTGTTAAAGATGGATGGCAGGGATGGCAGGGATTGCCGGGTAAGCTCAGGAAAGCACTGACCCAGCACACACAAGTCCTGGTTCATGTACCAGCACTGGAAAGAGAAAAGACGACTGGCTTCACTACTGTATCACTGCCCACTTGTAAAATTGACGAGCTCTCTCCACTAGAAATGCCTGTGGCCCTTAGGGACGTTCTTCAAGTCAACAGCACTCTGCAGAACAGGTTCATTTGGTGACTTTCCTGCAACAACCTTTGGTTTATACATCAAGCCTGGTTTAAAAAACAAAAACAAAAAACCCCACAGCACTCCAAAGCAGAGTACTCTAGAAACAAAATATTCTCAAATTATTGTTCCAGGTAACATTCTTGGTATAAATTAACACTGTACTGAGATGTGATGGCTCAGCAGTTAAGAACACAGGCTGTTCGTATAGAACACCCAGATTGAGTTCCCAGCACCCACAGGGCAGCTCACCTGTAACTACAGTTCCCAAGAAAGGGATCCCATAACCTTCTTCTGGTCTTTGAGGGAACTGCATACATGACCCATAGACTCAAAAAAATTTTTTTAAAAAGCAATAAAACAATTGTCTTTATTTCTCCTAGCCAAAATGTATCCTTGAATGAAATTATTACTCCAGCCCAAACCTACTACTTCTAACAGACTGTCACAACAGTCTAAAAACCTAGACCCCATTTAATAAATCTAAGCAATTCTCACGTCTGACACGTCTAGCCTTGGCCTGCCTTCCTGTAACACTACACACCAGCACAGGGCCGAGCTGATGTTGCCAAGTTCACCCAAAGTTCCTGCTGCAAAAACCCTTTGTCTTTCTCAAGACCTAACACCCCAACAGGAGAACAGTTATTAGCATCAACAAACAAAAAACACTACACAAATCTGAGTGAGACCAGCAAGACCACTCCGAGAACCGGGGGTTCCCACCCTGCCGAGGGATGCCCTGCAACATAAAAGAACAGAGAGCTTGGCTGACAGGACCAGCAGACCCGGTTCTTTGAGCAGAACCAAAACCGCCGGTCCAAGACCCCAGCAAGAGCTTCAGCAATTTCACAAACCCGCAACATCAGTCAGAACTTGGACCAATCACACAAATTGCATAGGGAGATAACCTGGACATTTGGCCTTTTGACATCTGGGCACTTTCCCCTGGAGTCTTTCCACATGTCACAACATACACACGCTTCCTCAACCATGCACATGTGCAGAGCAGATGCCCCCTCTGCTCCGTGGAGCCATGTTTCAAGAACAGTATTCGAGATGAGTGAGTTATAAAATTTATTTGTGTAAGCATTCAGACACTTTGTGGTGGAGAAGATGCTACGCAGGTTGTACTACAAGATTCCATGGAGAGATGTCAGACGGGACATCTAGTACAGACGTGGTGGCACAACCCAACATAGGTTAAATGAGAGCGCTTCATCCAGAAGAAACTGAAGAGAATAATTTAAAGCTCTGTGAGACGGGATATGTTCCAATTGAAAACACTAAGAAACAGTACCATCGATGGAAAACGAAAACTTCTAAGTGTACCAAAAAGGGCATCGGGTGAACGAGAGGGGAATTTGCATCTGTTGAGGTACAAATGGGAGTGTTCCATGAGGGGAGGGCGGGTTAATTATTATTAATGACAGACCCTGTAAATACAAAATAAAATCCAAATCACTGGTCACGAGATTCAAAATTTACACGTAATAAAGGCAAGGCAATAGACTCAAGTTCTGGCCTGTCAAATATTTACTCCACAGATATTATCTACAGAAGCACTTGGCCAACGTGTACACAGTGATCCTTATGCACGCCAAAAGGGTTTCCGTAAAAATGACGCTATATACAATCTGTACACTGATCCACCAGAGCGACTCTCCGTCTCCCGGGGGGAGGAGCTATCGATATGAGCGGGATACCTGAGGTTACGTGTCTTCAATTGCCTTAAAACAATCCAAATATACATTTCAGGGTTTTTTTTTGTGTGTGTGTCTAAAGATACTTTCTTTGAATATGTGCACTATGATTAAAATTAAAAACGATAAAAAAATAAAATAATCGCTTGCAGGAGGAGACCCTCCCCCACCCCATCGGAAAGACTCCATCCGGCTGTGGCACGATGAGGCTGTTCCCTGGACAGGTGCCGGCGCTACCGGAGGGCGGGCCCCTCCGTGACACCTCTTCGCAGAGTCGGCAAAGGCTCTCGTTGACTTTTAAAAAGAAGGGAGATGAAGAAGAAAGGAAAAATCAACCCAGGCGCCATGGGCCTTCAGTGCGCTGAGGCTCCCCCGCCGCTCAGAGAATATCTAGGGAAAAGCAGAGATCAGTAAGCACCGCTTCTCACCACAGCGAGATCTCGGAGAACCGAAACATTACGATTTTACAGAAGCTTCAAAGTCTTACACGCCAGAACAAGAATGAGCAGGTCAACAGATAGTATTATACAAGAGTTTATAATGGCTGAGAAAACTCTGGATTTAACTAAAAAACTCAGTGCTTGAAAACCAAGCCTCTGCAGCCTGTCTGGATGAGGGGTGTCATGGAGATGGCAAGTCACACCTAGGACCACCTTGCTTTGTGATTGTTGTGTACGTGTGTGTTGTATGTGGAGTCTACACTTGTATGTACGGGTGTCCACATCCATGTGAACACTGGGCTGAGGCTGACTCTGGGGGTCTTCCTCTATCATGTTCTAACCTTACTTTCCAGGGAGTGTCTCATCCTGGGTAGGAGCTTGCCGTTCTGGCTGGGATGGCTGGCTAGCAACCCTTCAGGACCTACCCATGTCTACAAAGAATCACCACTCCTACCCCAGGCTAGGATTACACACATGCCACCACACAGCCTATGTGTGGAAGTTGGGACCTACATTCAGGTCTTCCTGCTTGTGCAGAAGGCACCTTACCCTCTGAGCCCTCTCCAGGCCAGTATCTATTTTTAAAAACTAGTTGTGACCAAGGGCACAGCAGGAGCTCAGGGCCATATCCATGCTAGCTTGTGTCCAAGCTCAGCAATTCCTTGGGGCAGCAAGATAGGGCTGCAGCCCAGATGAGCTACTTGGAAGCAGTATTCAAAACCATGGCCCAAAGGAGGGCCTATGTGTCTGTCTGTGCACGAACACCTTGCATATAACATCAGAAGCAACGTTATGACCACAAGACTATGTCATTTCTTGTTTTTTTTTTTTTTAAAAAAAGTCTACACTGTCTTGCTTCTGAATGCTACCTGGTATGAGCATTGAGCCCAAGGACATACTTAAGGACACTCATCTCGAGCACTGCCCCCTGAGTTGCTTTTCAATACACTGAACATACTCAGATGGGTCTGTAAGATCCTCTAAGCAGCACACTGGAGCCACAGCATACAGGACTCGAATGCCAAGAGCTACAAACGATTCATTATGCGTTAAGTTGCTTCTCTGAGTGGATGAGCTGTGCTCGCTGAAGGATCTCAACGCCAGTTCAGACTAAGACAGAGATGTTCTGAAAATGCTCACAGATGTGACTTTTGAAGAGACCGTTCATGTCCAGTCCAGCTCACCTAGGAGCAGACTGGAAGAAGCCTAAGTGACGGGCACTGGCTGAGCATGGTCCACAGCTGCTGGAACCCAGGGTAAACGTAAAGCCAGCACCATGTTTGCAGAGACCAGACCAGGACCCCACCACCCAGTCATCTGATGCCATCGGAGGGTCCACTCAGCACAAAAGGCTATGAGGGTCTACTTGAAATCCGAGTTTGAATTGATAGGGATGGTTAATACACAATACTTAACCAGATTTCAAAGGTTTAATACCAGGGAAAACAATGTAAAATATCCCACTGGATAACTTACAATGATTATAAGCTGAGACAGAAAATTATCAAAGTAATATTAGAATTAATTTTGTTCGCTCCTCTTTACGTTCTTGATATAGTTTCTAGAAAATTTGAAATTCCATTTGTGAGAGGCTGGAGGACTCAGCCCAGTGGTAGAAGACTTGCCTAGTATATTCCAGATAAAGAATTAAATCCTTAGAACCACAAAAATTCACAGTGGAGGGGGGAGGGGCAGGGAGAGAGGAGGCACTTTCAGTGTTAAGATTCAAATATCCAAAATCTCCACATTTGGTAAAGGCGCTTGCTGTGTGACACCTGGCAACATAATCGTGATCCTGGAATCTGCATAAAGGGTGCACCATGGCACATGTACCCTCCCTATAATAATCAATAAAATATTTTTAAAATAAATGAAATTCCTCATTTTAAAATAAATGAAATGTGGCTCCTATCACATTTCTACTGGAGTTGGCAGATTAGGTGCCTCAGCAGAAGACAGATCCAGAAACAAGAAAAGGACCGACTACATGTGTATACGTCATACCACCTGCCCTGAGCTACTGGGAAAATCAAGTCACATCTACCAACCACTCATCCAACATCAGGCAGCTCTGGACCACATGCAAAACCCCTGAAGGTGACAAAATCTGAGTGTGGTGGACCTGAAGCCCAGCTACAAGGAGGCCACGGCCGGCTGCCAATGCAGCAGGCTTGACTGGGAAGGCAGCAGGTCAGAGGTGCTTGCTGACAGGCCTGATGCCCCAAGTTAGATACTTGGGTTGAAAAAGGGCAGAAGAGAACCAGCTGCTGAGAGCTGTCCTTGAGACCTCTGACCACAGCGAACACACATGAACGCACATACATCACAGAAAAAGTGACACCTTAATATTCCAACCAGAAAACAGAAGGCAGGATAATAAACAGATGCGGTTTCTGGGTGTGGTTCTGTTTTGCTTGTGACAAACCTCTTTTTAAATGAAAATCAGATACCACTAGAAGGAAATACAAAGTTATCCTAAGTTAGAGAAATCAGAGACCTGCTGGGATGAACACACAGACTGGGTTTTGAGCTGTATTTTCTTTTCCATCACTCTGTAAGGTGTTGTTGCCTTTAAAATTCAAGTCAGGGAGAGCTTAATAAGATATTGTCTCCTTCAGTGGCCTCAAGACTAGGGGCCAACAAGCAAACAGTCTTTAATTTTTTTCCCAAACAGTAATATCTATTCTACATGGAGGTATGTGGCTAAAGCCACCGGGCAGAGATAGGAGCTCGCTTGCTCCCAGAGGCCAGGGCCAGGCTTCTAGGAAGGCTCTAGGGATGGCTCTGAGTCCACCACGCCAAAGCCTCTAGTACCTGAACACGGTGTCCGTGTGACTGAGGCTCTCTCTGCCCATTGACTGCTTCATGTAAGTGCTTTAAGGCATCTTGCATTTATCTGGCAAGAGGTACAAGGACAAAGCTCTGTGGTCCTTTCCAGACTCAGGTCTCCCATTTGTACAATTCAGAACAAGCCTTCTCCCTCAGAAGCTTTACTCGCAAGGGACAACAGAACAAGAGTGAAGAACCCAAGAGATATACCAAGATGCAGCCTGCAACAGTTCCTACTCCAAGAAGCCATGCTGGCACCACCAGGCTCCCCCTCCTGCAACCCAGCCCCAGCCAGAGCCAGTTACCTCTGCAGCCGCTGCACGAGCTGTGCCACCATGGTGTCAGAGATCCCAGGGCAGGCCTCTTCTGCCAAGTAGATGGCTCCCCGCAGCTCCTCTATTGACCCCAAGTTCCCTCCACACGCCTGGCTCTTCTCCTTCAGCTACAAAGACACACAAGAGCAGTGTCACACACGGGCACAGACCTGGGCAGCAACCACTCCAGGAAGAGACAAAAAGGCCCTGCCAACACCACCATGCCAGGCTGACATGGCCCAAGCATGAGCTTTGTGGCTCATGAGTCACTCTGGGTCCTCATCTTCTGTCTCTGGGTGACTCCTCCAGACCAGAACGCAGGCAAGTAACTGCACACCTTCACACATGAGTATGATGAACACTCCGCTTTCTCTTCCTTGTGCAGCCTTCTGCTCACCCCTGAAACTGTCATCAATGACACATACAACTCTGGTGTCACTTGGCAGCTATAGTGTGGGTCACCAAAGCTCTGCTCCTGATAGTTAAGGGCTGGGGGTAAACTTCAGGCACAAAGCCTTTGGGGTCAAGAGTGCTGTCAAATGTTCTCACATAAACCTTGAGCCCTGAGACTCTGCCAACACCCTCCTCTGCTCTCATGAGTCATAACTGTGACTTAAGTCACCTCCCAGGCATGAAGACCAACTTCAAATCTTTTTCCTGAATGTAACCATAAGTGTGGAATATTCTAGTATCCCCTCCCCCCGCTTAAATTTGTTAACAAACGTTTTAGAAAATTCTCATCTTTGGTCCCACAGGGTGCTAACCTAAGAGCAGCAGTTTCCTCATCTTATCTAAACACCCAACTCAAGTTCTCATCCATTATCCCTAACCACAGGACGCACTGGAGGACAGCGCAAAAAAAAAAAAAAAAAAAAAAAAGATTTCTCCTTTTGTTTCTCCAGAACTTCCAGAATATTGTCTCATTTCCAGTGGATCTGAGGTAGCTACTGAGGAATCCCTTCAACAGTTTAAGCCCAGTAATAACCTACATAGCTTTCCCTAGTCACCTGCCTGGCTCGTGGAAGGCAGGGTCCAGGCCAGTGGTCACCATCGACATAATGCAAACGTTTGAGACTGCAAGTTTTTATGCCTCTAACGTGTCCTGTAGCCACCCATAGAAGGACAGTCCTGGTCCACTCTTCCTCCCTCCTCCCAGAATGGCAGTCAGGGATCTTACCTCCGCAAACAGAGGAGAGATGATTGTGGATAAACACTGAGAGAAAGGCCTCTTTGGGATATCTTTCATCTTGGGGAAGGAAAGAGAAGGGGCCATTAGAAACAGGCAACACTGGGGTGGGCAAGAATTCTACCAAGGATGACTGGATTCTCCAGCCTCCCTCTGTTCACTATCTCTGAGTGAGGCTCTCTACAAAGGGGCCCCACCCATGTAGCTGTGAACCCACTGCAAGATGCCAGAAGTGAACTCCCTAGGCACAGACATGCGTGCTCTGCAGGTTTGACTGAGGAAACCCTAGAGAGCTGAAGCTGGGTACTCCATGTGGCCACAGTGAGAGGCCTAACTCCCACTCTCTCTGAACTCATGAGCTGTTCAGGCCTGTGCAGCCACAGAGATGGATCCCGACAAACTAAACTTTAAAACGTAGCTCTTTGTACATTTAAGTGGAAAACCGCCTCAACAACATTAAATCTATATTAAGTACCAAGAGGAACATACTGGTCTCTAAGGGCCTGAAAGAAAAACTCGCCAGTAAAATCAGGGTGTTGTGAGTAAGCCCAACAGTTACTCAGTCTTCACACACTGAAACTTCACATCTACAACTTCCACCCTGTGGCTGAGGGTCAGGAGGACCCAGCATTACACACAAGGTGAGGTAAACAATTCAGCACTGGGCAGACCAGCATCCACATTCGGTCATCAGATGTTCACACTGGGCAGACCAGCACCCGCACTCGGTCCTCAGATGCTCACA